GGATCAACTGGCTGGAGTCCTTACTAGGCTTTTCAATCAGTCCCTGTCCCAGGCCACTGTTCCATCTTGCCTTAAGTCTTCCATCATTGTTCCGCTGCCAAAAAAATCCATCACGAACAGTCTGAATGATTTCCACCCAGTGACACTCACATCAGTCATTATGATGTGCTTTGAGAAACTCATGCAGTGTCATATCATTGCCTGCCTGCCAGCAGACTTGGACCCATTCCAATTTGCTTACAAGGCAAAGAGATCCTCAGAGGATGCTGTGGCCACAGCCCTTCATGCTGCCCTGACCCATCTGGAGCAGCAGAGGAGCTACACCAGACTGCTTTGCTCAACACCACAAAAACAAAGGAGCTGGTTATTGATTTCAGGAAAAATAAAACGGACATCCTGCCACTCAACATCACCAGGGGATATGTGGAGAGGGTCCCGGTGTTCAGGTTCCTGGGTATTGAGTTGGAGGATGACCTGAGCTGGAGTGCGAACACCAAGGAGCTGCTGAAGAAGGCGCAGCAGAGACTGTATTTTCTGAAAATCCTCAGAAAGAACCTTCTCCCCTGCAGCTGCACTTCCTCAGACATGAAAGCTCTCCACAGGGTCATCAGGGCAGCGGAGAAAACGATTGGCTGCCCCCTCCCCTCCCTGGAACAGATCTACACCTCCTGATGCCGGAAAAAAGCCATGGACATTTCACAGGATTCATCACATCCCGGTCACTGTCTCTTTCAGCTTTTGCCATCAGGCAAGAGATACAGAACAATGAAAATCAGGACAAACCGCCCAAAAAACAGTTTCTATCCCAAAGCAATCATGGCTTTAAATGCAAAACATAACAGATAATTTCTTATTCTTCAGTGCAGTCTGTGTATTTAGTGCAATCTGTATAGACAATGCAGTATTCAGTGCAATTTGTAATTCAGTGCAGTATTCAGTGCAATTTGTATATCTTTAATATTTATTACTCTTTTTATGCCTCACATTGAGTCGAGTTGCTTTTTCAATTTCGTTGTCCACGTGACAATGACAATAAAGATTATCTTTATCTTCATCTTTATCCTGCGCTTGGCCCTGCACCTTCCCTGAGGAGGTGGTCAGGCTGGCTACACCCCCAGCANTATCTTCATCTTTATCCTGCGCTTGGCCCTGCACCTTCCCTGAGGAGGTGGTCAGGCTGGCTACACCCCCAGCAGACTCTGGGGCCCCAATATGGAGGCGTCTCGCCTGCAGCCACGTGGCCCGTAACAGCTCAGCCGCTTCGGTGGCCCACGCGGGCCTCCCCAGCTCTGAGCTGTCACCGTGCACGGCTCGTGCAGCAGGTGCATACTCTCTGGGGGGGGCAGGCCACACAATCCCCACACAATCTCTCTCCAATGCCTGCCCCAGGGCTGCCTGCAGGGGGTGCATTTGTTCCGGATGAACATGGCCAACTGCAGGGCCTTTTCTGCCAGCGACGCCCCCCCCCCAGTGAGCTGCACTGTCAGCTCAAACTCAGCGTGGGATGCTTCCCAGCCTGACCTTCCCAAGCACTTGGGGGTTTTCAGCAGCACTGAGGGGGGTGAACCGGGGTGGGGGCGGTAGGCAGAGTTACCATCCTGACCATGTCCTCCTCCCGGCACAGCAGGGTTCGATGCCCTGTGTGTCGTGACACGTTACTCCTGTGACCATCATTAAAATTATTTGCCATTTGTGCCACAGTCACCTTCTGTTGGTTTGACCCAGACGGGATCGCCTTCATTCACATCTCACATCGATCAGTCTTGGCCGCCCAGCAGTCATAATGTTTTGGCTCATTAGTATATTAATATTAAATAATAATATTTACTCATTTTCTTAATATTTTCAGGATATTTTATTTTTGTATTGTGTACTTTTTAACTTCTTGCTGCCAGCTTTACTTGTTATCATTGTGTCTTTGCACTTTGTCTGTTTTGCTCTATATGTATCTCTGTCTGTGTTCTTCACACTTGCTGCTATTTGCAGAAGAATTTCCCCTTGGGATCAATGAAGTTTCTCTCAAATCTCATATAGTGTCTGTATTCTCAAATACTGTTTCATAAACATAACATGAGCTGAACACAGCAAACACATTTGTTATTCTGAATATGTAACACAGGTACCTGTATTTCAGTACAACCCAACCCTGGTGTCATGTGACTGGGAATGTGTGAATTGTACCTTTATAAAGGGAGCCGAAGGAAAGACAGCGATTGTTTAAATGAGGAAAACCTTTGATTTATTAAACATAGACAGTCATGATGTTACATTTCATATTCATAATACTGATAGGATAAGGCACTAGTGTGGATAATTATACACCACAGACTGATGTGATCTTTCCCTTTTCAGAATATTCAATTCCAATTGCAGTGGCTGTTTTGGGAATCTGTGCCTGCATCGTTATCAAGGATTATTTATTGTATCGTGAAAATAAGCGCTTGGAGGGATTTTACTGTAAGTATGAAATTTTATACTGAGCCATATTCAGCCTGTTTGTTACTGTTAATTTACATGAGTCACCCTTTAAATTGAGTCATCAGAGTACAATTAAAATCCATGTAGTTCTCAAAATGTAACTTTCCTTTTTATATGCAGTTTGAAACTGTAACACTTTGCATAATGATGCTTATTGAAATATTAATTTCATGATTATTTTTAAGCAAAATGTAAGTATTTTCCTTATTTCCTATTTTCCCTATTCTCAAAAGTATACAAATTGACCTGCATTCTGCATACAAACACTTCACACCCTTAGAACCTTCTTATCTATGACTGTGTTGATACATTATTACAGTTTATCACCATGAATGTTTTCCTGGTATTTTGCTGCTTATTCCTGGTTCTTTGGAGGCGCCATGATGAGCCACAATAAGCCCTTTATTTATTCAGCAAGATGTTCCCCATGCGGCTGAGACTGCAGCCTCTCCTAAGTGTCGCCTCTCCTCACTTCTCTCTCCTCAGCTGCATTACAGCCTCACATCAGCCTTTCTCCTCATCATCCTGGGGCCTCCTGGCCGCGTCTCCCCATAATTGTCCTATAAGCTGTCCTACTGTTAGCATTCATTGCTAATTGTTAGCATTCCAGTCAGACTCAGTATAAAATGGTGGGAAAGTACAGCTCTGGATGATAAACCACATAACATTACACATCATACCTTCCGGGGTCACAGAGCCGGGCTTCCTGAGTGAATCCTGGCAAAGATCTAGGGCTGCATGATGTCACATTGTGATTAAATGGTGCATGTGCAATAATCACCAGGGCTGTAGATGATAGCAGATAATAACAAAATTAGCCGTGCAGCAGGAACAAAAACAGCTAAATTAATACAAGGGAGATAGTCTGAAAAAGCATAACCAAACACAGACATAGTGAATCAGCAAAGAGGAACAGTGGTCAAAAGTCAAAGCTCACAGACAGGGACAGACAGACAGGGACAGACAGACAGACAGACAGACAGACAGGGACAGACAGACAGACAGGGACAGACAGACAGACAGGGACAGACAGACAGACAGGGACAGACAGACAGGGTGGCTGGTAAACATCACAA